ATTGTCCCCAGTTTGGAGAACCAGCAAATCGCTCCACTGGCTGGTCCCGCCCCACCCACTCACTCCTTACCTGGCATGTGAGCCATCCAACTTGCCTGGTTTGGTAAGTTGCTATTTTTCCTTTTTTTCCCTCCAACCATCAGCTGTTCTCCACTGCCAGGAGATTTAGATTAGCTAGAAAGGAGGAAATCCTTGGATTTCTTGCTTTCTAGCTAATCTAAAAGCAAAGCTGGACCTTCTTTAGGACTGAAGCTTTTCAGTGCAGACTCAGGTAGCTGATTGAAGATAGATAGATCTCTAAATTAATCTGTGATTCTGTGAGTAGCTCAATCTGCCTGCCTGCTTTGTCTGCTTTGGGGTAAAAGTTGTTCTTTTTTAATAAAAAAAATCAATATTTACATCAATATTTATAATATTTACATACAAGCCATGCCCACCCAGTCACATGACCACCAAGCCACACCTGCAAATTAGGCCACACCAACAGAACTGGTTGTTAAGAAATTTGAATCCCACCCCTGGACATATCTGACCCTGGCAGAACTCAGTACTGTACAGTTCCTGCATGGACGGTTACATGACCATGAGATGACTTGGAAAATTGGGAGAGGATGTGGACACTGAATGGCTATATAGGTCTCACATATTCTTTCCAACCTCCGTGCATTCAACCAGAAAGTCTGTGAGACAGCTGTACGGGTATTTAAGTTCATTTGTTTGTGCCACCTAGGATTTGGCTTCATTACATTTTCAGATCTTACAGAGAGCTATACTCTTTACAATTCCAAACAAAACTTAGTTCTACTTGTCTCCAGAACTTCTAGATGAACATGAAAGATTAGAAGGAAGAGGTGAAGGGTTTAAAGTCTTTATGCTTTTAATAAATTTAATAAATTAATACACAAACAACGGGCAAGGATAAAAAATTATCTGGACCTTGCAGTGTAGAATTTCTCTTTTTGTGTGTGTCATAGTTTATCATGCTGACTTGATATGCTTGATATTGCTATTAAGCAGTGACAGAAGCATCAATCCTGAGAAAGACTTACAAGAGGAGTTACCTCTTTGGCATTTCACTAATGCATAAGAAGCAGAGAAGGCTGCAGATTGTTGGAGAAACGGTTATAAAGTAAAAGACAGAGAAGTCATTCAAAGCCTTTGAGTATCTCATAACTAAATAAATAAAAGACCAAAACATTTTCCACATGAAAATATCTCCATGATCATTACCCATATTTTGAAAAACATTCTGAAACCATTTCTCTTAAAACAAATTGAATGAGAACTGTAGATAAATATGCAAATTATCTGTCTAGCAGTAATTGTAAGTAGCTGTCTGTTTATCTATATTTGTTTTTACAGCATCGAAAAGATTCAGAAGAAGGTAGAAAACATTGGAGGAATTTGAGATATATATCTAGGAAACTGATCCTTTTAGAGGCTTTCTATCACTCTAAAGTGTGCAAAGACATTTTCTTTATCACTGGATGAGTTAAATGACATAATGGTAGGTAGGTTTCAGTTAAAGATTAGGAGAAGCTTCATGGCATTTTGATAATGAACCCAACCACCTACGGGGTGATGAGTTTATTTTGTGAGAGGCTTAAAGTGAAAATTAGAAAGTCACAGGCTGAAGAGATTCTGAATCTGCAATGAATGCCAACCAATCCCCCTCCCTCCCCCAATCATCTCCCACTGCAATCCTATGTTTTCATATACAGTGGTGCTGTGAAATTCAGGCCCCGGGGAACTTAAAACAATTGCCACAGAAGTGCTGAAGAAAATCAGCATAAGATGTCTTGTATAATTGCCTTTTAGAGACCTTTTGGAGAAATGAAAAAAACATTTTTATCCTGACTTTATTATTTTTAATAAATTGCTCACAGCAATGAACCTGTACAATGCTCATCTCTTCTTCCATTTTCCCTGCAACAACAATCTTCTGAGGTGGATTGGGCTGAGAGAGAGTGGCTGGCCAAGGCCATCCAGTTGGCTTTCATGTCCAAAGCAGGACTAGAGCTTACAGTCTCTCCTGCTTTCTAGCCTGGTACCTTAACCATTTGATAAAACTGGCTCTCTTGAAATGCTTGACACAACTACAGCTTTGCTTTTCAATGTATTGTAATTCTTAGTCATGAGAGAAGAGATGGAAAGAAGGAACTGGGAACTGAAAAAGGGGAGGTATATTCAATAAAGAGGAAGATGGAAACTATCTCTCTTCTGAAACCATTGTTAGTGTATTAGATTCATGGAAGTATACCTATTATGGATGATAAAAAGAGTGAAATAAACAGCAGAAATTAGCTACCACGTTCTGTCCAGTTCTAAGTTGATCTCTCCTTAGAGAATTAAAAAGGTGTGCTGCATTTTCAATAATTTCTGATCTCACGAGGCATTCCTTTTAACAAAATACCTTTGAAAGCATCCAGTCCAAATCACAGATGAAAGCAAAAAGCAGGCAATCTAATCTAATAATCCTTCCATGCACCTGTCAGCAAAGAATCATTACAAAAATGTCTTGGCGGAAATACCTAAAATGTTTAGTGGGATTCGTTGAAATGTCATGTTATATTAAAATATCAGTTTTGCATTCAGCTAAAGCAAGGGGAAGAGGAAGGGAGCTATTTTTTATAGCAATCAAATCCATATAAACAGCTCTTATATTTGATTGAACTTAGGCTGTAAGAAGAAGAAATTAAGCTGTTCTTTGAAACGAGCAGAGAATTGAAGCAAAATAATCCTTGGAGAATTGTTTTGGCATTTGGGGGCCGATTGAACTCAGCATCACAAAAATAACAGAACTGTGAATTATTTCTATTGTTTGGAAGTCTTGAGGTTGGGGAAAACATAATTCTTAAACATCTATTGTAGGTTTTATGTATTCCTATGTTTTTATCATTCTCATTAACTTATTCATACTAACTTAATCTTACAAAATGGTTTGGAGATCTTTATTTTTAATCTTAACGGAAGCTCTTTCAATGTTTTGCTCTACCCTATCCTGCACTACCCTCTTTCAATAATAAATGCATAAAATCCTTGTAGCCACTAAAATATACAATGCCAGTTCAGAGTATTTTGAAACAATATATGATTTACCGTAATTTAATAATATTTCAGGTTGGAATGGGATTACCACTTTCAGAATTTTTTTCCATTCTATAATAGCTTACTTTTCTAGTACTGCTGAATTTTAAATATGGTTGCTATATATGCAAAAGGACCTTATGTCTTCATTACAATTCCCAATTTTCCACTGAGAAAATGTTCATCTGAATAAAATGAGATGTTTAATAGCAAAGCAAAAAGGCATCAACCTGTATATCAACCCATATATTGTATATATATGCAACAATTTTGGAAGACTTTCATAGAAGAGTTGGAACTCTAAGAAAATACGGTCCATGAAATTCATATAACTAGCATGGTAATACAATCTAAAGTTCAGAACAGCTCTACTATCTTGTTCCTTTGAAGCGGCAAATTCTTGAAATTAGACTTCAATAATTCATTACTTGTTTGTATCAATCGTTTTATACTTCAATAAAGTCATTAAATAAATGTATCAGATTTTTCACTAAAAAGTGTAATCATTTGAAAAAGAAAATTAAGTCTTGGAAGAATATTCATTTTAACTGCTACACTCTTTATAACTAATATAAATTTATTTTGTCCATCTAGAAATATCTGTCACATGTTTCCAAATTTGTAAATAATTATTCTTAAATAGATCTTTTTATTTTATTTTATTATTTATTTTATAGTACTTTCTTAATTGTATTAAAGCCAGTAAGTTGGTACAGAAGTTGCTTTTTAAAAGAACTTCTTTTTGTAGATCTATTACAATCACAATTGTAAGGAATATTCTATTTAGATTTTGCTAGATCAGATTATTGTCATCTCATAGGGGACATGGGTGGCATAAAATTTAATAAATAAATAAGCAAATAAGCAAATAAATAAGATTTTAAGAAATACTTGGCAAATTGCTGCATAATATAGTTATTATAGAAATGTATTTGTTTCTGTCCCAAAAAGTGGTGATACTTTTTTATTTTGTCTCTTCTGTAACTGATTATCTAACTATTTTGACCAGCATTGATGATGTTACCTAGTTAGGGTAATGAAATGTCTGTAAGAAAATAAGTAAGCTTATAGAGAACCAGACTCATATCTAACTATTTCCCTGTTTGTTATTTTTCAATGTATTTGGGTATAATAATGTTCATTTTGGGGGGACAAACTTCATTTAGTTCCAAAAATTGAAGTGGGTTTCAGATTATTGTTATCTTTTTCTGTACAATTCATTACTCACTAACTTCTTTGATCTAGATTCAACATAAACAGATCATCACTCAATACTTGTAAAAATGAAATAGATAAAATCCTAAATTGAACAGGTGGAGACTTAATGAACTGCTACTATTACAAGATGAGATTAAATTGAAGTGTTAATAGGAGTTGAAGAGTTTCTTTCACACTAATTTAATTTCTGAAAGTTTTCTCATCACACTATGAAGGTGAGTACAATAAACACTTTTGAGAGGGCTGCTTATGTCTTTAGCATTAAACCAAAAGAAAGCCAAGCAGAATCAGAAAGATACTTTATTAATGCTCTAAAAACATTCAAAACAAGTTAGACCCAATTCTGTTTGCAGCATTTTTTTTTCTTTCTAAGTTCTGAGTGTTATTTTTAAACAGGGAGTAGCCAATCAATGGCTGCCAAGATATTGTAGTTTTAAATGTCCAAAAAGCTGCATAAATGAGCCATTTATATATTTCACAAGAGCAATCAGATTACAGCCTGCTGGATGCAGCATGAGATGGTAAGTGCTGTGTGCCCCTCACCTACCATGATGAAAAATAAACATATGTGTTAATAACTCTAAAGATTTCCCTTGCTTGGATGTTAGATTTTCGGGTTCACTGATATGATTAATGGCCATTCCATAAAGCTAAAAAGGAGAGAGAGAGAAATCAAGAAAGACAGAAAGACACAGACAGAGAGATAGTTTGGTATAGTGATTAGGGTTGCGATGGTTAGCATGCTAATTCTGCCCACAGCCAGGAATTCAATCCTCACCAGCTCATAGTTAATTCAGCCTTCCATCCTTCTAAGGTTGGTAAAATGAGGGCCCAAACTGTTGGGGGCTACATTCTGATTTTGTAAACTACTTAGAGAGCGCTATAAAGCACTATGGAGTGGGAGCAGTATATAAGTCTAAGTGCTATTGCTATTCCTATTACATCAGGCTAGAATCCTGGAGACAGTGAATTCTAGTACTGCCTTAGGCATAAAGCCAGCTGGGTGACCTTGGATCAATCCCTCTCTTTCAGTTCCAGAGAGAAGTCAATGGCAAACCATTTCCAAAAATCTTGCCAAGAAGACTTCAGATTGCCAGGAGCCACAGTGAGTTGAAGGCACTCCCACAAAAAAGTGAGGAAGAGAATAAAAGGGCACATGGATTTCATGGAATGGCTCCTGCCAATTTCCACTTCTATTTTTTTTCAAATTGGATACCCAAAAGAAAGCTGTACCTATGTTTGCTTTTTTGAGAGTAAACTCAACAATATGATTCAGAGGCCTGCTTTTCTTGAGTCTAGAATGATACCATGTTTCTCCAACAATATGGCCTCCACCAATAGGAAGGCCCAGCATGTTTTATCAGCATAAAATCAAATTAAGCCCCTCCACCCCAAATTAAGGCCTATATTAAACATGCAAAATGGGGGGGAATGGCGGGGAGGGGCTTGCCGTTAGGAAGTACTTTTGTTGCATACCCAGATATAGTGTTGCCTACATTGATTTTGGCGTTGGTGGAGCACTTCGTATCAGGAGACCTTCCTCCGCCATTGCTTTCCCTTCTCCCTTGCTGCCGTGGTTTTTAGAGCAATGCCACAGTGTTTGGCGCAGCCACACACAGCCAGCTAGGGCTCCTCCCTGCAACCGGAGCCCGGTGGAGACACTCGGCTTCAGGTGCTCCTGTCGCTGCCTTCCCTTCGCCTTCAAAGGCAAAGCCAATTCTTTTAAAAACAACAACCTTCAACCGGTACAACAAAGCCTCCCCTGCCTGAGAGGGTATCCCAACCCCACGTGGGGAGGCGAATCTCCCAGGGCCGCAGTGCAGGATAGGCCCACCTTGGGAGAAGCTCCCAGCCACCATCCCTACCTGGCGCTGGGCAGAATGAGAAGAGCTTTGCCTGGGGCACCCAGAGCAATTGACTGGCGGGCCCTCCTGCCCAGCAGCAGAGCTCTCGCCACGGCAGCGAGCACCTCCCTGCTGGATCCTCTGCTCATCCCGTCAGGGCTGTGCCAGAGCCGTGCGTGCTGGGCAGAGCTGGGAAAGCAAGCCACGGGTGCACACCTGCCTGCCAAGCGAAAGTGCCAGGCCGACCCCAGTTTGGGCCGACCTGAGCTTGGCTTCTTTCCCAAGTCCCTCCAGCCCAAACCCGGAGGGGCCACTGAAAGAGGCCGCCTGAGGCAGTGATAGCTCCCACCCATCGTGGACAGGGAGGCAAGGCGACGGCCTGCTCTGCATCCTCCTCTGAGCTGAGCCCTGCCGAGTCAGTGCCTCTGCCTGATGCCCATTCCACTGCAGCATTTGGAAATGCCAGCACAAGTGGAGATGCATGGGGACGGGGACAGGCTGGGCGAGGGGTGGAAAGGACGGGCAGCTTTGGACTCTCTCCGCTGGCCAGGGAAGCAGCACTGCCATCACCTCACGGATGGGTGGGCGCTATCACTGCCTTGGGCAGCCTCTCCTGGTGGACCCTTTAGGTTCATGCTGGAGGGACTTAGGAAGGAAGCCAAGCTCAGGTCGGCCTGGCTCTTTTGCTTGGCAGGTAGGCACGCACCCGTGGCTCACTTTCTTGGCTCTGCCCAGCCCGCACGGCTCTGGCATGGCCCTGGCGGGATGAGTGGAGGGTCCGGCAGGGAGGCGCTTGCTGCCTTGGTGAGAGCTCTGCTGCCGGGAATGAGGGCCCACCTGTCAGCTGCGCTGGGTGCCCCAGGCAAAGCTCTTTGCACTCTGCCGGGCACCACGCAGGGATGGCGGCTGGGCACTTCTCCCGAGGTGAGTCGATCCTGCACTGCAGCCCCAGGAGATTTGCCTCCCCACGTGGGGTTGGGATACCATCTCAGGCAGGGGAGTCTTTATTGTAGTAGGGCGTTGTTTTTAAAATAATTGGCTTTACCTTTGAAGGCAAGGGGAAGAAGGTTATAGGAGCTCCTGAAGCCGAGTGTCTCCGCTGGGCTCCGGTTGCAGGGAGGAGCTCTGGCTGGCTGCACGTGGCTGCGCCAAACACCATGGTCTTGCTCTAAATGCCGCAGCAGCAAGGGAGAAGGGAAAGCAACGGTGGCAGAAGGTCTCCCAATACGAAGTGCCCCTCCAACGCTGAGGTCAACATCCAAGCTGTCGCTGCCCACCCACCTGAGGATGCAAGGGGGGGAATTAAGTCACCCCTGAAAAGATGGCCTAGCTGTTTTTTCGGAGGTCAAAAAAAAAAAGGCCCGGCCTTATTTTGTGAGAAACACGGTACCTAGAGCTTTATTCACATTTTGGTCACAGTAGGTACTATTCCCACTGATATTTTTACTCTTTCTGTCTCACTTTAAATTTCCCTTACATTCTAGCAAATGCCTGACAGAGCTATCAGTGCTAATCTGCTGAAATCCAGATGATTAGATGACTATAGAGGCAATTTTTCCCCGTATCTATTTCCTGCATTCTAGTGATTTTCTAATTAGTTAGGTTTTTTGCTTTGATCCAGATATGATATAGGGAGTAGAAATATGCCAGAATAATGATTCTCCTTCAAGAGTTAGCTATTTTTCAATTTAACACAACTACATTCATTAATAGTTAATTAATTAATTTCCCTTCATTAAAGAATGGAGCAATTTGGTCCCTTTCAAAATTACAATTTAAAGGCAACTTTTAATGGGAGCCAGGAACCTACAGCCACAGTTTTTGGAGGCAGGGATCCTTGACCTGTGATCATGTACTGTTAAGAGAAAAATGCTGTGGAATCTAAACTTCTATGTTTGACTCAAATTTATCCTAAAATTTAGGGTGATTGCTCACATCGCTTTTATGAACAAATTAAACACTGCACAAATTTGAATTTTTGGTAACAGGGCACCTTGGCCGGGGGGGGGGTGTTTTTAGAATTAGATATCTGGAACAGTTACTGCCTATCCAATCCTAACAAACAGGACTAATTGTTTATTTTTAATCTCAAAGAACGGATTATGAAATATAAGAGCATAGGATTGCTATCTCAGATAGTTCAGATTAGTGGTGGGATTCATTTATTTATTTTTTTACTACCGATACTGTGGGCATGCCTTGGTGGGCATGACAGGGGAAGGATACTCTAAAATCTCCAGTCAGAGATGGTATTTGCCGGTTCTCCGAACTACTCAAAATTTCCGCTACTGGTTCTCCAGAACTAATCAGAACCTGCTGAATACCACCTCTGGTTCGGATTATTGTATCCCCCTCCTTCTTTGCAACTTCTATTCACTTTCTATCCCGGCCATCAAAATATTTTAACAAGAAATGTCAAGGATTTGTTGAATGCAAAGCATGTGCTCTAAAACGGAGCTATGCTTCTTTGCATTACATATAGTCCGTTATCCATTTTTGTTACTTTTGAGTATTCATGCTTTGGCTTTCAGCCAGATTGCACCCCTTGTATAATTTTATCTGAAATCTCTTTCTTTGAATGAAGCCATCGGAGCAAAATTAAGCCTGCATGCATTTAACAATAGTAATCTTATCTTTTCCAACTCAGGCATCTAGAGTCATTATGAATACCCATTTGGATTGAAGCTGACAATAGTAGAACAAAAGAAAAATCTTAGCAAAACACAGTCACCACCAACGAAAATAGCAGTAGCATTTAAGGACATTGGCTTATTCCTTATTAACTAACTTATATGGTAACTTAAGGTATAAGAAAAAGCATTAAGAGATGCTAAAGATCTGTATTTAATAATGCATAAATCCACCACCTTTCTCTACAAAATAATTGAGCAGATCTGGGAGTGAAATTTCCTGCTTTGCTTGCTTTGAACACATACAAATGAATGAAAGGATAATCCTTTTGGTGACATTTTTTTTAAACTCTGTTTGCTTGATGGCATTATGGCTGCAAATGTCAGTACAGCTCTTCACAAAGACAAAAATATTAAATCCCAGGTAACTGACTGATAGAGGTTACATATTGGCTTTATATACAGCTCACAGAATACCAGATGTTAAGTTTGAGCAATGAGAGGCTGAACCAGAGCATGAGTGCAACAGTACTTTATTTTACAAATAAAGGGCTGACCGTGCTTGCCAAGCCTGGAACTGGCTCGCAGCAATCAGCAGCCAGTTGGACCCCGCAGCCTGCTTTTATAGCTGGCTGCTGGGGAGAACCAACCAATGGGAATGGGGGAATAACGCCCACACAAAGTGAGTGGACCTGAGTGAGAACTCCTTGAGTCCTCAGGACATAACACCCCTTCCCCCCAGATGCGAACACGCATAGTCCTTGAGGTAGATGGGGGGTTTGTGTTGGCGCCCGGAGCGGCGCAACTCGGGAACATTGTCTGACTGTTCGGTATCAGTCTGTGACGGTTGAGCTGGCATAGTGTCGCCAACACTCTCTCTGGACTGGGCATCCTCGGAAACCACCGGGTTGGTTTCTGGAGTCAAACTCTCGTGGGTTGGATCCGGTTGGTCAACTCTCTGGGCGCTGTTGTCCGAGTTTGGGCTGACCGGAACGACCGCTGGCGCAGACTGGTCACTGGGTGCGGTGTGGCTGGGTGGCAGATGGGACGGTTCCCCTTCGACTGGAGACTCTGGATTCTTGTTTGCGAGGTTGCTGAGGCGCCTTCTGAGTTGGTCTATGTGTCTCCTCCAGACGCGACCATCCTCCAGCCTGACTCTATATGATCTCGGCCCGGTGACGGCGATGACCTCGCCCGGAATCCAAAGTGGGTCCCCAGCGAAATTCCTTGCGAATATCAGCTCCTGTAACATAAAATGTCTAACCCCCGAAGTGGAAGCGAGGGGAGAGTCAGGGCAGTATTGTGGGTGCAGTCTATCTAATACAGTCCTCAGGCGCCGGCCCATCAGAAGTTCCGCTGGGGACTTATTGGTGACTGCACAGGGGGTTGAGTGCTGGCTCATCAGGAACCGTGAGAGTTTGTGGTGCCAGTCATCTCTGCCAAACCTAGCGAGGGCCTCTTTGGTGGTCCTGACGGCCCTTTCAGCCAACCCATTACTCGCAGGGTGAAATGGGGCTGTGAAAATGTGGCGAATGCCTAGGTTGGCTGCAAAACGGCTGAATTCTACTGATGCGAACTGTGGGCCATTATCGGAGACCAAGGAGTCGGGTAGTCCATGGGTAACGAACAGGCGCGTTAACACGTTGGTGATTGCTAGTGTGGTGGTCGTGGATAGCTGCGCCACGTCTATCCACTTGGAATAAGCGTCCACGACCACTAGGAACATCTTTCCATGCACGGGGCCGGCCAGATCGATATGGATTCTAGACCAAGGGGCGCTGGCGCTCTCCCATCTGGTAGGGGTGGCGATGGGGGGAGCAGGACGGGATTCCTGGCAAATGCTGCAGGAACTTACCCAATTGACAATGTCCTCGTCTAGACCCGGCCACCACACGTAGCTGCGTGCTAATGCCTTCATTCTCACAATGCCGGGGTGTCCCTCGTGCAACGCCTCCAGGACTCGGGTACGCAGCGAGGTCGGAATGACCACTCGAGTGCCCCACAGTAGACAACCCTGCAAACTGGACAGCTCCTGCATGCGAGTCTTAAAGGGTGCGAATTTGTTATCGACATTGCCTCCCGGCCACCCCCTCCTCACCCAGTCGAGCACCTGGGCGAGCGTTTGGTCTGCCTTGGTTTTGGCAGCGATGTCAAGGGCGGTGATGGGCAGGTCCAACTGGGTGATTTCAAAAATGGCATTGACAGGAGCTGGGTCTTCAGCCGGAGCGGGTAAGGGGCAGCGACTGAGCGCGTCAGCGTGGGATAGAGTTTTGCCCGGGCGGTGGATAAGTTTGTATGAGTAGGCCGCTAGGAAAAGTGTCCACCTTGTCATCCGAGGGGAGAGGACTTGAGGTGTCTGTTTGTCGCCGGCCAGTAGGCCCAGGAGGGGCTTATGGTCGGTGACCAGTTCGAAGAAGTGGCCAAAAAGGAATTCGTGAAACTTTTTCACGGCTGCAACACCTGCTAGGGCTTCCTTGTCTATTTGGCTGTAATTTCGCTCCGTGGCCGAGAGCGTCCTGGAGAAAAAGGCAATGGGGGCCTCGGCGCCATTGGCGAGTCGGTGACTAAGGACCGCCCCAATTCCAAAAGGGGATGCGTCTGCTGCCAGTACTAAAGGAAGGTTGGGGTCGAATTGGATGAGCACTGCCTCTGACGTAAGTAGTGATTTGACGGCGTTAAACGCCTGGTCTTCTTTGTGCCCCCAGTGCCACGGTGACTTTTTGGCTAGTAATCTGTGTAGGGGTTCGGCTACTGAGGCTTTATGGGGCAAAAAGGATGCATAAAAGTTTAGGAGTCCCAAGAAAGCTTGTAGCTCCGTTTTGGAGGTCGGTGTGGGAGCTTCGTGGATCGCCCTGACCTTGGACTCCAGGGGGGTGAATGCCAGAGGCGTCAATTTTATAACCCAGAAAGTCCACCTGTCTAGTGGCAATGGCGCATTTTTCTTTTTTCAACTTGAGGCCATGCTGTCTGAACCTCTCTAACACTGCTCGCACTCTCTGGAAGAGTTGGGGTCTGTCCCTGGCTGAGACCAAGATGTCGTCGAAGTAGGGTACTACACCAGGGAGGCCCTGTAAAATCCGCTCCATGAGGGATTGAAAAATACCCGGGGCAACACTTACGCCAAATTGGAGACGCTTGCATCGGAAGGCACCCCTGTGAGTGACGATGGTCTGAAGTTCCGCTGTTTGGTTATCAACAGGGAACTGTTGATATGCTTGAGACATGTCCAATTTAGCAAAAATACTGCCCGGTTCGAATGTGTGCAATAAGTGCTGAATGACGGGCACGGGGTAGGCGCTAACTTGTAAATATTTATTGATTGTTGTCTTGTAGTCCGAGCAAATTCTCAGGCTACCATCTTTTTTGAGGGGTGTGACGATGGGCGTCTCCCACTTGGCGAAATCTGTTGGCTCAATGACCCCTTGTTTTAGTAGTTTATCCAATTCAGCGTCTAGTTTTGGTCGAATAGCAAATGGAACTCTACGTGGTTTTAATCTGATTGGGACTGCCTGGGGGTCAACGGTGAACGAGATGGGGGTTCCATTATAACACCCCAGCTCCTCGCTGAACACATCTGCGTAGTCAGCGAATAAGGAGTCAGTGTCTGAGGTTGAGACAGCATGGACTCCTGTTAACCCTAGGCCGAGGTGGGGAAACCAATCGAGCCCCAATAAGGTGGGTAGATTGCCGTTAACTACCACTAGAGGTAGGTGGCCTTTAAAAGCTCTAAAACTGACAAAGAACTTGCCTCTGCCGATCACGGGAATGGCCTTCCCCTGGTAGTCCTTCAGACCGAACTGGCATCTCTGAAGCCGGGTAGTAGATAGGCTGGGGTGGAGTCTCTTGAGGGTGTTCCACGAGATTATTGAGAGCGCTGACCCTGTGTCAACCTCCATATGGCACGGTTTACCTTCTAGGGAAACGGAGAGAGAAATTTTACTAACAGAATGGCAAGTACGCCTGGCAAGGCGGTGCGTGCGACAGTTTAATACTTGCCTCTGTGGTCCCGAGTGCGAGGACGGGGGTCTTTGTGCAGCGCTTTGGGGGGCTTGGCAGACTCTCGCAATGTGCCCCCTCTTATGGCAGTTGTTGCAAACGGCTCCTTTAAACTTGCAGGTGGCCCTTTGATGTGATCCCCCACAGGCTAGGCACAGGGTGATGTGCTTGGGTGGACCGGTGTATTCTTGTTTGGCCCCTACCTGCGACCGTCTGTCATTGGTGAGGCGATGGACATCGTTCTCATCGTTGTGGCCTTCCTCCGCTTCCACCTCTTCGGAATGGACTGGGAACGCTGCTAGCTTGGCGCTTGGGCCCTGAATTTTGGTGGCTGAGTTCGTTGCTAGCTCGGCTGCTAGGGCCTCCTCTACCGCTTGTGCGAGGTTGAGGTCTTTTTTAGCTAGCAGTTGCCTCTGTAGGTTGAGATCCTTGACCCCACAAACCAATTGATCGAGGAGCATGTCCTCCAGGTATGTTCCAAACCCGCAGTGCAGGGCTGCTGTTCTGAGGGCGGCCATATATTGGTTGATGGTCTCCTTACTTGATTGCTTCCTCATTCGGAACGTGAACCTCCTGGCGATTTGTGAAGGCCTGGGAGCGTAGTGGTTTGTGAGGATCTCAAGCAACTCGGACCACGGAACGTTTTTTAATTCTCTCGGCGCCACGAGTGCTGCAGCGGTATCGTAAACGGTGGCTCCACAGTAGATTAGGAAATAGGATTTTTTCCGATGCTCTCCCGCATCCGACAGGCCGACCGCATCGATGTAATGATTGAAACGGTTCTTATACGATTCCCACTTCTCTTCGTCTGGTTTAAACGCCGGGAATACTGGATTGGAACTCATGGTGCTGGAACGGCTGGGCTACCTGCGGGAGAAATCTCTCTGGGACTACGAACGCTCGTGAGTTACTAGTGATATCAGCTCTGGAGAGGTTTTTTGCTACCCTCTCTTTCTCTCTCTCTGGGTTACCATGTTGGCTGCTAGCCGTTGGAGGTGTCTTGATTCGCGCCAAAAAAGTGGGCGTTAGTGACTTTCTACAGCGCTGTGCTGTGATTCCTACTGGCTCGAAATTCAAATGACACCCGTTTGAATTTCGCGCCAAATGCAGAGCGGCTGCGGCTCGCAGCGCTTCACTTTCCCCGTAGCGAGGCTAACAAACGGCTACAGACGCTTCTAACTATTTGACTCAGACCGCTTTCTCTGGCTGCGGATCTGCGTTTGCTCTTTTTGATCGCTCGTTTCGCTAGCTGACCGCTCTCTCTGGCTGCGGATCAGCGTTTCCCTTGTCACCAGCCGATCGCTCTCTCTGGGCTGTAGATCGGTGGCTAGTGACTCAGCGGTTGCAAGGTGCTTCTGGTAGCCATCCCACCCTCGTCGCCAGTGTTAAGTTTGAGCAATGAGAGGCTGAACCAGAGCATGAGTGCAACAGTACTTTATTTTACAAATAAAGGGCTGACCGTGCTTGCCAAGCCTGGAACTGGCTCGCAGCAATCAGCAGCCAGTTGGACCCCGCAGCCTGCTTTTATAGCTGGCTGCTGGGGAGAACCGACCAATGGGAATGGGGGAATAACGCCCACACAAAGTGAGTGGACCTGAGTGAGAACTCCTTGAGTCCTCAGGACATAACACCAGGCAATCCTCATTTGCTGCACAGTGTATTGCAGATGGAGATGCCATTAGGAAAATAGACATTATCATGAATTGCACAAGAAGTATAGCAGTTAAATACGAGAGATGGTGTATTTAAAGCATGGAATTTGTTGTTACAAATTATAGTATAGTTTGCTAGTTCTTAGAATAGTCTCCGGCATATTATTAATTGAGATGGTAATTGTATTGTACCTTATTTGAGGGGACATGTCTCTGAATATGTCACCACATTGCATAATGCTTCTGAACCTTTTATGTCATCTACAGCTGTTTGGCCCTTCTAAGGAACAAGACTGAGACACAGAGATATAAACATTGGACTGAAGTAGCAGGATTCTTTCCAAATGAAATTTCAGTATACCTATTCATTTCTTGAACAGCCTTGGACAAGTCCAAGATCAAGTGAGGAACTAATACCACTCAATAAAGCCTTAGTAAGACCACACCTAGAGTACTGCATCCAGTTTTGGTCAGTACGCTATAAAAAAGATGTTGAGACTCTAGAAAAAGTACAGAGAAGAGCAACCAGGACGATTGGGGACTGGAGACTAAAACATGAAGAATGGTTACAGGAACTGGGCATGGCTAGTCTAGTGAAGAGAAAGACTAGGGAAGATATGATAGCGGTCTTCCAATATTTGAGGGGTTGCCACAGAAGGAAGGTGTCAAGCTATTTTCCAAAGCACCCGAAGGCCAGACTAGGACTAATGGATGGAAACTGAGCAAGGAAAGATTTAACCTGGAAATAAGGAGGAACTTTCTGACAGTGAGAACAATCAACCAATGGAACACCTTGCCCTCGGAAGTTGTAGGAGCTTCATCACTTGAGACTTTCAAGAAGAGATTGGACTGCTATTTGTTAGAAATGGTGTAGGGTCTCCTGCTTGGGTGGGGGGGTTGGACTAGATGACCTATAAGGTCTCTTCCAACTCTGATTATCTGTTAAGTCCATATCAGTCAGCTCCAATAGTCTTTCAGAATTTGTAAAATGGAGCAGTGAATAATACCAGTCCTATGTGACAAGTTTGTAGTAAAAATCAATGTGACAACCTAATAAAGCTATAATGAAGGTTAAGTGGAATAATTTCTCAAGTAGATTCAGTTCATGAAAATATGCCTGTTTCTTGAAGAAGGTAGTTAAAAACTCAGGATTTTCAAGTTGGATTCGTCGGGGTTTAATAAAGTTCTTTAGTGTCATTGTCAACAATTTAATCTTGTTTTTACTAGCTTTGGCTGTTTTCTGTTTGATTATATCTTTTATTTCCTGCTGTTTATTTCTTCACCTTTAATATTCCTGTGCACTTTGGGCTAAGCAAAGATTGTACCTGGTTATAATTAGGATAGAAGACACCTCAGGACATCAGAATGAGATTGTGAAGTTTAAAAAAACTTAGAAGCCAATGGTTTCTTGTAGTGTTGCCAAGAAAATTACATGGTCATAATATAAACAAGATTTTTTTAAAGCAACTAACACAGATAACAATAAAACAAAAATCAAGCAGCATCAAAAAGAAAATACCTTAAGAATGGATAATATATAACAAGCAGCATACACTGTATAGTTTGTACCAGAGATCTCCCTGAGTTCAGGAAGGTCATGACATCTCAAGATGAGTATCCTATTTCTTTTTTAAAAGCGTACATAGCACCATAAAATACATTCTAAAGGTTTATACAAGAAAAGACACCCTCAAAATATGGAGCTCTTGTTAAGGTTGGATGTTGATAGTAAACTCAGATGTTAATTCATTTAATTAACAAAATTTCTACGTTGCTTTTTCAGAATGACTGTAGGTATTTGAACACATTGTGACAGCAGGAGCAAGAATGGAAAAATAAATCAAGTGGTATTGTAGTTCTTAGAATTCTTTAGGGAAAACCATGTTCCTGCAATTCCTGCAATAGATCAGAGGTGGTATTCAGCAGGTTCTGACCAGTTCTGGAGAACCGGTAGTAGAAATTTTGAGTAGTTCAGAAAACCGGCAAATACCATCTCTGACTGGAGATTTTCCCCTGCGACGTCTACCAAGCCACAGCCACAGAACTGGTAGTAAAAAAATTTGAATCCCACCACTGGTATAGATTTAATCTACACTCATAAATAGGACCACTTAGTCTTCTGAAGTCAAAGGTTCTGCTGACTAGAGTTCCAGTTACCGGTAATCACCTGGTTTAGCTGTCAGCCTTTGTTAGATTAAGGTTAAAATCTGTACTATACTAGATGGCAGCAAACCCATTAACTGCCATCTAGTGACCATTTGATGCTCTTCGTCTTAGGAACTCTAGTGTGGATTAAACCCTGTTTGAACACGGGGATAAGTTGAAAGAAAGAGAAGGCAGCTGTATCTGATTCTTTGTATCAATCGTCACTTGAAAATTATTGATGATATGTTGAAGAATTATAAGCATCTGGTATAATGATGAAAAAATGATGGAAAATCATTTGTTCTAGCATCCCAGCATCAGACACAAATATGTAAGCTGTGATGTCATATGGTTTGCCACATTTCAGAATAACCCCCCGACCCCGCCTTCTCTAATAAATATCCATTATTCTGGGGGGGGGGGGGGGGTTGTATAAAGGCCTAGAATGCAAGCTACCATGGAGTAGAACCTTATTCCTTTTACTTAAAATAACATGTTGTATATTAATGGAATTAAACCATTTTTAATGACATATTTTTGTTATGTGCTGAGATTTTGTTGCAAAAAAGAGTGAAAATATTCCTTTGTCTTTGTTCAATCCTGGCAGATATTTTATCATATACCTTTGGGATTAAGGAAGGAGACCAAGAAGAAAGTGGTTAACTTTAAAATATTTTAAAATTCCCAAAACTTCATTAATATTGTGAGAAATAGGTGAGTGAACACGATTATGTGATATCTCGTTATGAAAGATTAAATCATATGTGCAAGTAGCTACATCCAATAAGTTTGCCAATATAAATAATGCAAAACTAATTACATTTCAAATCTGCAATAATTTAATTGTATTTTTTATTTGAAAAGGATCTCTTTATTTCAAATATTTTAAAGCCTACAGTTGTGATGCATCCTGTAAAATTACTAAGAACTTTATTTAATTACTAAACAAATGGAGATTCCTTTTTATGCTTATGGGTGATCCTTTCCACACTAATTTTTTAGTAATTATTTGATCCGAGTCATTTCTCTTAACACTTGTTAATTTTCAGTTAATTGGCTTTACAGTTAATTACCCTGAATTTAACCTAATTGTATTTATTTATCAATCCCTCATTGATGTTAAGCAATGCATTGAGTATCATTATTCCCCAACTTAATCCAGCATGAATTTATTGTCTTTGCATGGATTACCAAAATTTTGTTAGATATGAAATTGAGGGACCACTGCCTGTACAGAAATGTTCCAGTCTAAAGTTTGGTACTCCATTGAGGTAATGTTCTGATTAATGGGGAAATAATCTAGAGTGTTCTGTATTAGGACAGATATACTGACAGTGAGAACAATTAACCAGTGGAATGGCTTGCTTGCCTTTAGAAATTGTGGGTGACCCATCACTGGGTGATTTTAAGAAGAATCTGGACAGCCACATGTCTAGAATGATATAGGTCTCTTCAGGGGTGGGATTCAAAATTTTTAACAACCGGTTCTATGGGTATGGCTTAGGTGATAGGCGTAGCTTGGTGGTCATGTGACTGGGTGGACATGGCTTGGTGGTCATGTTATTGGCTGGGTGTGGCCAACTCAATATCACTCACATCGAGGCACGCATCTCCTTGCCTGGCCTCTCATGACTGTGGGGATGCTGCAACAGTCGTAAGTGTGAAAAATGGTAATTAGGAGGGGAAAAAAAACTCCAGAGATTTCCTGAGACAGGAAGTCTACTCCTGCCAAGAATGTAATAAGGATTAACTGAGAGGCAGTTTCTGTAAGCGACACCAGAATGTTTCCTTCCTGCCTTCCTTACAGGATTAGGCCAGTAATTTCTTCTAACAACCGGTTCTCTGAACTGCTTAGAATGTTAACTGGTTCTAGAGAATAGGTGCAAACTGGTAGAATCCCACCCCTGGGCCTCCTGCTTGAACGGGAGACTGGAGTAGACCTCCAAGGTCCATTCGAACTCTGTTTTTCTATTATTCTGTTATCCCATAGATACAGAAAATACAATTACTCTGTGTACAGTGATATTGAAGAAGGCTATATTTTGTTGTGGACCAAAGATAAAATGCCAAAAGCAACAAAATGTACTTATGTAAATATTATAATACATTTCTGGAAAAAGTCTCCAGCTTGGATAGTCTCATGTGCAAAAAGACATTTTAGAGAGGAAAGGAATACAGAATGGTCACCTGTAATAATAATGCGTGATGCACTTTCTATGAAGTAAAGGTAAAACAACTAGAACTATTTAACATGTTAAAACTGCCTGAAAACAATACCTCCAAAAGATGTTAGTTGTGAACTCTTGGTAATTGCAAACAAGGGGTGGGTGAGACATTGGTAGTTGAACACTGAAAATGACAACATAAAGTGCATCTAAGAATTTTTCATACTAACAAAAATGCAGATATTGATTACAGTATTGAGGATATTATCATTTTCTAGAGCAATCCTGATGATTAGGGAAAGTGGAAAGATGTTTTCACCAGTCAGAAGTATGGAAGTAAGAATGGGACTAGAAGACTTCCAAGGTCCCTTCTAACTATTATTCTATTATCCAACCCCATGAAAGGAACACATCTAAGATACAGAAAAAGAGGGAGAACTGTAGTTTACAGATAACAAAATATGTAAAATATTTCATGCACTGGAAATGCCAATACATTTTTTTTAAAGAATAGAATAGAATTCTTTATTGGCCAAGTGTGATTGGACACACAAGGAATTTGTCTTGGTGCAAATGCTCTCAGTGTACATAAAAGAAAAGATACATTAATCAAGAATCAAGAATCATAAGATATAACACTTAATAATAGTCGTAGGGTACAATAAACAATCAAATCATACTAGGAAACAGTCCATATAAATCGTAAGGATACAAGCGACAAAGTTACAGTCATACAGTCACAAATGGAAGGGGATGGGTGATAAGAAATGATGAGAAGATTAATAGTAATAGTAGTGCAGGCTTTGCAAATAGTTGGACAGCGTTGGGGGAATTATTTGTTTAGCAGAGGGATAGCATTCAGGGAAAAAACTGTCTTTGTATCTAGTTGTTCTGGTGTTCTAGTATAGCGTCGTTTTGAGGAAAGGAGTTGAACCAGTTTATGTCCAGGATGTGAGGAGTCTGTAAATATTTTCACAGCCCTCTTTTTGACTCGTGCAGTATGCAGGTCCTCGATGGAAGGCAGGTTGGTAGTAATTAGCAAGCAATACTTGCAAAGAAAAATGTAAGAATTAAGATAGGTATTTATTATGCATTCATAACAGACCTTCCTTCCCTCCCAACTTAACAAGAGTATGTAAAGTCATGAGGGCTAAACAGAACAAGATGAATAGCTTTCATTGCTCTGAAGAGAAAGAAGCTTCTGAGCTGGCTGTATTTTC